CGAGCCAAGCCAACAAAAATGCCCTTCAACTGGAAATGGAGCGGATGCGAGTGGTTACGCGTTGCATATTCTGGAATCGTTGAGGTGCCTTCTCATGTGTCAAATCCGTCGTTGGGTTGACACAAGTATTCGCTGATTCGGTATTACTGAAGCAATGGTCGGTGTGTAATTAGCAAGTGCAGGGATAGATGGTGTGAAGGTAGTAGGTGGAGTGGTCGGTGTGTAATTAGTTGTTTTCTTTGAAAACCAAGTGACTGCTATCACCACTACCAACAACACGGTGAACATTGTATAGGTTGTTGTTGTGTGTCTCCTATTTTTATTTTATTGAACTCCAGTCTCGTTTCTACATCTTCCATTCTTAATTCATGTATTATCCTTATCTTTTATAGTTCAGTTCTTTTTTATCGTTTCGATTTGGGGTATTTCGAGTTTCAGTTTTCCTGTCCCCAGTCTTTCCACTGCCTCTTATTGACCGTTATTAACCATAGCTCTACATTCATTAATTAATGCCGATCCATTCAGTATCCTCTCCGATCCACAATCTGTTAGTAGTTTCACGTTTTCTCCGTTGAAGATTGCGATGTATCCAACTGCTGGCTTAAATATTTTGGTGCTCAACCCCGAATCTCTCGATTCGCATTCCGCCTCCTCTCCGTCCATCAGCCTTCTTAAACAACTTTCATTCTTACATATGTTATTTAGGTTTCTTATTTTCTGACATTTACTTTTATAGTAAATTTCCTTGTTATTAACTGCAACATAGTAGAGTGTAATAATAATAAATTCTGTTTTAATCATGGGGAGTGGAACTACTCTGTGTAACGAATATATTTCCTCTTTGAAAATAGGTAATCTTTCTGAAAATTTATGTCTGTCTAATTAATAATCGCTCTTCGTACATGTGTTCTTCAGATACAACCAGAATCTTTTGTTCTTCCTTCTTTTCGAAAATATATTTTGTAAAATTTCCTGTTATCGATTTGATGACTGATCCTAACCCATTGATCAATTTCTTCTGTAATGCGCTAACTAAATCCTTTGTTATGCTTTTAAGTGTCTGTTCCACCTGTTCTATGGCTTCTTGATATTCCTGTAGACTTACTATGTATATAAATGTTTTGTGTGTTGGTATTATTCTCGTTGTACCCAATTCAATTAGTGCTAGAAGTCCCTCCATCACCCCGATTTTGAATTTCTTCTCCGCCGCCATGATCGTCGCCAATCTGCAATTATTTTATACTATGTTTGTTCAATCTTCTAAATTTTTCTTTTTGGACTTTTTTAGGTTTAATTATTATTACTATTAGGTCTTTATCCTCCACCACCTTGTGGTTAGAGAACCTCGGAGTAAGCTTGTCCCTCCTATTTTCATTCCTGTATATCGTGTCTTCTAGTTCTATTTGCTTGGGATCTTGTCTGTCTGAATTGGCTGCTTCTATTCTCTTCATTTTTTGCTGTTCTCTCTCTCATTTACTTTTGGATATATTTCGGCTTGAAGCGCATTAATTTGCTGTAAATAATAGTATTTATCACTAAATGAGTTCTGCCGGTAAAGAGTTCTTGGTGAGTGAGCTTCGTTGCCGATTGAATCATATAAGTCTATATGCATTATTGCCACAGGTCTATCTGGTGACTCTGGCACGCTCTATTTCATTTTCTGTGGCTTCATGTTGTTCTATGGGAGGATAATACACCCTTCTAACGTTTGTGCTAACGTTTCTTCTATTCCCCTGTGGTTATTTTTCTGGTGGTAATCCTCAATAGCCTCTTCTTGTTGATCTTTCTCTATTATATCTGGCAGTAAGATTGTACATCTTTCTGCCCTGTATAACTTGGTGTAAGCGAAATATTTGCAGTTAGGTCTTGTGTGGTTTTTACTAAGTCCTCCGGTATAAATAATAATATCGTTTGGATTGGCTTCTTTAACTCTTCGACAAACTGCTTCCTCATTGAAGTTGTCTTCCGTCCAAGTTATTCTTATTTTATTTCTAAATGGAATTTGCATAACTAACCTTGCTGTTTCCCCTTTCTCTAATTGTAAGATTGTGTCGTTGCATAACAATGTTTTGCGTACCTCAAACGCTTCTGTTAAATCTGATTCTACCTGTACCGTCTTTTCGTGTTTTAAGTGTCTTGTCAACAGCTTTGTTATCGCCGCGATTTTTATACCCTTGCAGAGGGTATTATAATTTCAGTCAAAAGTTTGCAACGCAGTGAAGGAGACATTTGCGACCCTATAAAGTATATATATTCTTGATCAGCATCACCAGGAGAGTCGATCTAGCCATGTCCGTCTGTCCGTCTGTCCGTCTGTCCGTCCGTCTGTCCGTCCGTCTGTCCGTCTGTCCGTCCGTTTCTACGCAAACTAGTCCCTCAGTTTTAAAGCTATCTGCTTGAAACTTTCCCAAAAGTTGTCTTTCTATTGCAGGTAGTATATAAGTCGGAACGAGCCGGATCGGGCCACTATATCATATAGCTGCCATATAACTGAACGATCGGAAATGCCATAACTTTGGTGTTTTTAAAGTTAGGAAGTTGGGATTTGCTATGGGTTTTATTTTTGGATAATCAATCCGACCTGCCAAATTTCATAAGGATCGGACGACTATATCCTATAGCCGCCATATAACTGATTGATCGGAAATGCCATAGCTTTGGTGTTTGTAAAGTTAGGAAGTTGGGATTTTCTATGGGTTTTATTTTTGGCCAATCAATCCGACCTACCAAATTTTATAAGGATCGGCCGACTATATCTTATATCTGCCATATAACTGAACGATTGGAAATGACATAACTTTGGTGTTTTTAAAGTTAGGAAGTTGGGACTTCTTATGAGTATTAAGAATGCATCATATGAATAATTTTGGAGAATATAATTTATAGAATATTCTGCAAGGGTATATCAACTTCGGCTCCGCCCGAAGTTAGCTTTCCTTTCTTGTTTTAAAATAATTTTTCTACCCTAATAGACCTTAGAAGGATTTTATCTGTTTCCAAGTCTTTGGTAAAGGGAATTTCTTTGGCTTAATTCCCTGTGTGGTTACTACGTGCCGTAAACACTACACCTCCGTTCTTAAAAATTCTCTTTTGTTCAATTGCAATTTTAAATTTGCTTCTGCAAGCTTCTTGAAAACTTTCTCCAGGTCTGTGATATGTTCCTGTAATGACGTTGAAAACCCCATTATATCGTCCATATATATGAGGCAACATAAGCGTTGTTCAGGCCCAGGCATTCGAGCATACACAAAGTGTCCGCCTTCTGCTGAGAAACCTTTTTGGGAATGTCTTCTTCTTTCACTTCGATTTGATAATATCCGCTTGCCAAATCTAACGTCGAGAAATCCTTTGCCCTTCCTAACCATCTAATAAATCATTAATTGTTGGCAGGGGTTATCTGTCTTTTCTTACTTTATCATTCAACTTCTTGTAGTCAACTACCATCCTCCATTTCCTTTCACCCGAGGCATCCTTTTTTTAGGCACCAAACACACCGTAGCATGCTAATAATGGACCTGATAATCTTCTGGTCCATTAGTTTTTCTTGTTGTTTATACCTGTACGCTCTGGCATATACCGGAAGGTCATCTTTCGTTCTTATTTGGTGTTTTACAGCGTTTGTAAAAGACAAGTTGTCTCCTTCTTTGTGAAATACCCTTGGCCATAAAGGTGGCTAGGCGATAAGGGAGAGCCTTCCCGATCTCAGACACCAATAAGCACCAAAAGCGACGACGCAGAGGACTGAGACAAGGAGCAGCAGAAGAAGTGGCAATAAGGCTGTAGTAAAAGAGACAATAAACCAGTAAAATCCCAATTATTTCTTGCGTTATCCCTCACGAACGAACTCACAAGCGAGAAATAAAAGAATCAGGTCTTTGCATATGGTTTTAAAATAGTTTTAAAGAAGATCTAAAAGGAATTACTGAAAAATATTTGTAAAATGAATTGGGAAATTTAAATTAATCAGATATATTTAAAATCAAGATATAATGAAAAATATTAATTTTATAATTTATAAATATAAAATATAATATAAATAGAACTTGTTTTCTGCTTCTCAAGCAGTCGATGAAATGAATAAAAGAAAACCAATTGGATAATAAAATTGTTTTTACACAGTAAAACTATTCATCATCAAGTCGATTTATAGAATATTCCTTTTTGGTGAAGCTGCAAGGGTATACAAACTTAGGCCTTTATTTACATTATATTTATATCCAAAACAAATTTGTTCGATCTAAAACATCACAATCTGGTTCCTCAGCTGAGTAACTTAAAAGATGCAAGAAAAACAAGAAATAGTAGTGGACGACAACTTGGAACCTTTGCACTGTTAACAGAGTCATAAGCAATCTTAGGTTTATTAACATTGTGGTAACAATTTGATGATCCGTACTCTACTGAATTGTTATTTACTTCCTTTATTTACTCCTTTTTGGACTCTCCAATATCATGACCGGTACTAAAAAATGTCTTCTCTTCGCCCTAAGTGGTTGCAACTGGGATCAAAAGGCTATGTTGCCTTCTTACGCTAGAAGATTACTATTTCTCAATTTGTCTTCACTGGGTACTCATATAACTATGCTTGGTACCATCTTTATGCACAATTTGATCAGAGGTGATAATGATTCCATAGAATTGGTAAGCCGCTTAACATTTAATGTGGCCTGCAATTTGGAAACGTGAACCTATAACACTTTTCGTGTTCTTTGTAATAATTATAATAATCTAGATCATAACATTTGTACTTCAACCTTTCTTTAGTTATTGGTATTTTCCTTGCAAACACTTTTTTTTCGCCCAAAATGCTTGAAGGTCCCATGCGTAACAAGCTCGTGCTTGGTTTCATTGGGCCACTTATCTGTACTGCTTATAGTGCATCAACATTCAACAAAAAATATATATCTGATACTTATTTAGAATTATTGTTAAGTTATTGAATTATATTATGTATACAAGATATTCGAATTTAATATTTTTCTCTTTTAAAATATTTCTAGATCCTTATGTAAAAGTTTGGCTTCAGTTTGGAGATAAAAGAGTAGAAAAAAGAAAAACGCCTATATTTACATGTACATTAAATCCAGTATTTAATGAATCATTTAGTTTTAACGTTCCATGGGAAAAAATAAGAGAATGTTCCTTGGATGTTATGGTAATGGATTTTGATAACATTGGAAGGAACGAGTTGATAGGACGAATATTATTAGCTGGTAAGAATTTAAATTACATCCCTATTGAGGAATTCCAATTAAATAATATTTTAAATCTTTTTGAAATGCAATTGAAACAGGTAAAAATGGTTCTGGAGCATCAGAAACTAAACATTGGCAGGACATGATCTCAAAGCCCAGGCAAACTGTAGTACAATGGCATCGCTTAAAACCTGAGTAATTGTAATATTAACACCAAGATAAACACCAGTGGGTATATCGCAGAAAAAAGTACATGTACATTATGTACATAAGTTGATTTATACTTGCATACATAGCAATATCATACCAAATGGAAAATCTGCACAAAGCTAATGTTATTATGTTTGAAAAATTAAAAAAATAGCCATCAAATTCAAATAAAGTAATTGTTCTGATAAGAACAATAGTTTTATACATGCTTATATGTAGACAAATGTTTTGTAAGGACGAAATACGAGTTATAAAATATAATAACAATTGTTCATAAAATTCTTTAAAACAAAATAAAACTTGTTTTGGTTGATTTTTATTGCTATAAAAAACAAAATAGATCACTAAAACATTTTATATATAAGGCAGTTAATAAATTAAAATTTAATTATTTTTTGAAAATTAATGTTTATTAAATCCGAGTTCACTATTTTAAAAAGAAATCGGTAAGGGCAAATGGGTAAACTATTAATTTTATCAGATAATACGTGGCATATGTCAATCGATATATAATTTCGAGGTAGACATCTGATAAATTCAATAACAGAAACCAAGAACCTAATAAAAATGTAAATAATACGATTGAATTATTAAATTATAACATAAAAATAGTCTAAAAATCAAGAAAAGACATTGTTACATGGTTTTAAATAAAATAAAATGGAGAACAAATTTATAAAATTCTTATATATTCTTTAATCGCATAATATATCGTATTATAGAAATGTAGGTAATTTGAATAGAAAAAGATTGCAGTAGCACAATAAACAAGAAAATAAATAATTTTAAAAGTAACTATGAGAAATTAGCCAACCATTGCCGGAAAAAGCGTCAACAGAGAGAAAAAATAATTAAATAAATGAAATAAAGAGAGAGAAGAAAGAATTAAAAACAAATATAATTATAATTGATAATTGAAACTGAGTTTAAAAAACGAAAAATCGAAAATACAACCCACCTTGAAATTACATATTTGTTATATACCTGTTAAAATATTATTAAACTAATTTATTCATAGCAGCAAATAAAGCATTCAGTAAGAGTCATAACACTGCGTATTATTTTATTTGCAGACTTATGTGTATAGTTCTATGTATAGTAAAGCTGTTTATTTATATCTAAAAATAATTTATTAATTTTATGTTCATTTATACTTTGTAATACCATGGAAGCCAATATTACCGTATTCAATTTTATTTATTTTTTTTTGTTTATTGGTGGATCTTGTATCTTTTCTCGTAACGACTGGAAGAATATAGAAAAGCAATTAATAAACAAAGGAGCAACAGCTGGAAGCCATTAACTGGAGATAGGTAGGCGAACAAACTTTTAGATATATCGCTTCTGACTGCTCGATTTTGTTATACCCTTGCAGATGGTATTATAATTTTGGTCAAAATATTATAATTTTGGTGGAGATGTCTCCCTCCGACCCTATAGTATATATATTCTTCATCGGGATCGCGTTCTGAGTTGATATAAGCATGTCCGTCTGTCTGCCCGTCTATCAGTCCGTCTGTATTTTTCTACGCGAACTAGTCTCTCAGTTTTAAAGATATTGAATTGAAACTTTGCATCATATGATTAATTTTGGAGAATATAATTTACAGAATATTCTGCAAGGGTATATTAAACTTCGGTACAGCCCGAAGTTAGCTTTCGCCTCTTGTTTTTAAATATGTCGGGTCTAACGAGTGAAGCCCCTCCACGATGTAGGCTTGTAATTTTACGAAGTGTCTATTGCGTTGATCGTCTTTGATGATCACCAAGCCGTTGGTTCGAAAGTTGTCATTTTTTTAAGACAATGGGCAGGTGCGAGCAGAGTTTTGCCAAAAGGATAATGTACCGGCATGAGTACATCCAAGTTGTCTGCATCTGCTTTTAGTGGATGAAGTGTACGCGAGCTTAAGCAATTTTTGGTTCTGATGAGCACCGCGGTGAGTTCCTCATAGATTCTCTTTAAGTGATGCTTGAAAGGCTTAAAGGCTTCCGAAATTGGCAAAGAACGGCAAAATAAAATGCTATGTCGTGGATTTTCCCGTTGTCGTCATACAAAGTTGTTATCCATAAATGGGAGCGATGCCTAAGGATGCCCTTAGTGAGCAGAAATTGCGTTAGTCTAACTAAAAGGTTTCTGCTTGAGCTACTGCGCTTCTCCAGGTGGTCGATGTAGATCATACTTTGTGAATCCCAAAAATCGGTGGCCATCACCTTTCCGGCCGATGGGACAGTCTTCGCCTTCTTCGGAGCAGGTTCGCCGGGTGAAGTCCACTGTTTCGACTGTTCCTTGGTCTCTGGTGTGTACCAGTGGATCCATGTTTCGTCGACGGTCACAAAGCGAGGCAAAAACTCCTTTCTATTGCGAAAAAAAAAATTTTTTTTTAATAAATAATTGTTAGATGATAACCACCATCCAAGAATTTGACATAGACATTGGTCATTGAACTGAAACACAGAAGAACAGACAGATTGAAACAGCATGCCATGGATGAAGCTGATTGGTTATTTGCAAAACAGTTGCAATATGAAAAAATTGTCACTGATTTAAAATTACAGTGCGAGCAAGTAAGATGGTGACATCAGGAGAAACACCACTCACATTTCCTCTTAAAATGAACCGCCTACTTGATAAATGGCCTTTATTATACCCGTTACTCGTAGAGTAAAAGGGTATATTGTATTCGTGCAAAAGTATGTAACAGCTAGAAGGAAGCGTTTCCGACCCTATAAAGTATATATATTCTTGATCAGGGTCACTAGCCGAGTCGATATAGCCATGTCCGTCTGTCCGTCTGTCTGTCCGTCCGTATGAACGCTGAGATCTCGGAAACTATAAAAGCTAGAAGATTGGCATTTTGCATGCAGATTCTATGAGCTCCTACGCAGCGCAAGTTTGTTTCAAACTGGTGCCACGCCCCCTTTAACGCCCACAATCGCTTATATACGATTTTAAAAATTTAAATATTTCGGAAAAGTAAAAATGCATTTTTATTGTGTTTATCAATACCTATCGAAATGTAGAAGAAATTTTTCAAATCGGACCATTCATTAAAAAGTTATGCGTGATCAAAGTTTCTATCTCCATCTCCCTCGCACTCCCTTTACCTGAGTAACGGGTATCTGTTAGTCGGGGCACCCGACTATAGCGTTCTCTCTTGTTTATTAGTTAGTACTGTCCGAAGCCGTTTCTAGAACACACATCGCAGTTGTTTGGTATCGGAACTACTGAAATTGAGATGACCGTTGGAAAGCGTAACTTCGGTCTGAAACCAATTTCAATTTTAAGTTCAGATGTCAGAGTGGGCTCCAGAAGCAATGCGAGAAGCATATTTATTTAACTCTATTATCGAGTTAGGTGGATAGGTAGGTTGAACTATTCAATTACTATTTTTAGATATAAAGATCCGAATCTCCAATATTTGCAAAACTTTAGCTTTCAATTTTTTAGGACCAGTCCAAAGTCTACAAATATTATCCACCAATCAGAAATAGGCGTTCGAATATTACGGCAGTAACCGGATCGGTTATCTCTCCAGCCTGTGCTCTCAATTTAACTGAGCATACCAGCATACCATATCCTGAGTTTATAGTTCGTGATAAAATCCATTCTGCTGAGAATGAATTAGTCGTCAACTAAAACCATGATGGGACTCCAGACTTAAATATCTTCTGGTTGAGATTGGTGCTGGTAATCCAATCGATTTTCAAGGTCTTCTTGCAGCTCTGATCGAAGAAGTGGTTCGATCCCTTTAAGTTGAAGGTTAGCACTTACAGTGTTTTATCCATTATCGCATACCATTTGTCTTCATTTGGCGAGACGGGAATTTAAAGCGCTAAGTGCTTTCAAAAAGGCAATCGTACTAAGGTGAGTGCTGAGCTTGCCCTTCAAATGAAAAGGCAATTGTTTTAGACTTTCTACTGATCATAGGTCATGCAAATTGTTTTGAAATTATATTTAAAATATCCCTTTAATTATTCTGCGACAGTTCCGATTATCAAATTAGAGAAGGTTTCAGCTCAGGATAGACGCGAGATTTGAAAATAGAGGTCAAAGTCCGCCAAAAAAAGTTAGATCTGATCGCTTTAAGAGCGGTAGAGAGTCAATATTTGAGATTATAGGAAATTAGTGTCATAACACAATACTCTGAAAGGCTCATGCAAGTCATAGTAAGATTTACAATCATTTAATATCAGTGTAAAATGATTTCTAGTGAATATACTTGGCACCCTATTCGTGGTGAGATTGATAGCCCCTTCTTTTGAGGTCACCAAGAATAAGGTTATAAATGAAGACAGTACCCAGCATCATTCTACGGTTAGGTAGGGAGGTTAAATTAATTAACAATGATCTAATAGAATGAGTAGGTAAAACAAGGTTTCCATCCTTGTTTAATCGCCGTAAAGTAAAAAGTATAAAGTTTTCTTTGCACCGATTCAATGCAGTTAATATGTATTCCGTCTTGTGGACTCCAGAAGGGAGACCCAGAATCGGACGGACTATAGAAATAAATAAAGTCCTAGTGACATAAGGATTATCAAATTCGATAAAAAATCATTAGCTTACACTTAGAGACGTTAAAATGTAGTAAATTATCTCGGAACCAGTTTTGAAAGGTACATCATTACGCGATAATGCCTTATAACTGAGAGATGGCTATTAATAAATAATGTAAAAAGAAGCGGACCAAGGTGGCTTTCTTGTGGGATGCCTGAAGTAACATGGATCAAATTAGAAATAGAGCTTTTAAAGAGGACTCGTTGAGTCCTACCACTTAGATAACTTAAGATCCATGTTAGAAGATCACATGGAAAACATTGCTCGTACCTATTTTTGGTATTTCATTTTATTTTAGTTCCCCGTCATCACGAGTTAATGGGTCGCCTAAACTTCTCTGTGCCTAATAATAACCATGTACTTTATTCCTTTTATCTTAAGTAATTGTAAATCTAACTATGATATGCCTGAACCTTTTAGAGTACTGTGTAGTGACTAGAATAGACTATACCACACTATTTCTACTACCGATTCTTTGCCAATCTTGAAAGCATTAATTTTATCTTATTTAGCACAAAATTAGTATTAGTATTGTGTTTCGTATGCATTCTAATTTAGCCTGTCCGTTTTCTGTTTCACTTCTCGCGATCTTGTTCTTTTACGCCCATTGAGGTATAGTTAATTCTGTGCAAAATATGATAGTCTCAGCTCAATTTTGGTTTTTGTCTGTGATAGGGCAACATTTAAACAAAATGTGGAAATTTTTCATCCAAAAATATTAAAAATTGAGTGAGATACAGGCAATCTCAGGCGGCGCCTCAAAGAAAACACGTTTTGCGGTGTTCACGAT